CCGCAGGGCAGGGATCCAAGTGAGTGTATGGAAATACGTTTAGAAATTTCACTAAAATAAGCCAATAATTTGGTGGTTGGGGGGCTCCTGATTCATTGTTTAAGGTAGATTTTGATATTTTATAGATATTTATCTTTTCCAAATGAAAAGCTGCAAAGTTAACTTTGAAAATATCTTAGGTGAGAAGAAGAGTCATGGTGAATGTACTTGCGGGTGTTCTCCCAGGCCAATGAACCCTGCCCATCTTAGCTGGAAACAGTTCATAGCTATTTGGGGTCCCAGTGTCTGCCATTGCTCACTTCAAGTGGCAGGTGCCACAAGGAGACAGGTGCAAAGAGCAGACTCCTGACCTTTGTTTGTTTTGAAACTATGGTTCTCATTCTTCCTTTGGGTAACCCCACACTCTGGTCATATTCCTTTGGGAAATCGCACTCTGTACTCTAACTCTGACATCAGGTATCTGTGACTAATTTTAATTATGTAGAGTTATGAGAGCGATAAGAATTGTAGGACTTACTAGATGCTTAACACGGTCGAATCTTACCCAAAGTAGCATAGGTTAGGTGTCTTTCCACTGAAGAGGTCTTTGGTCTCATGAATGTAAGAAATTTTTTATGAGAGCTATACTACTAGATCCAAATATATACATACACACATATATATATGATACGCACATGGATATATATATATATATATATATATATATATATATATATATATGCAGCACGGCATCGCTCACGTTTCTTTTGACGCATGTTCCACTGGCCTGAGCTGAGATGGAAGCACGGGTCCTCACTAGAGGCTCTGGCACATATGCTTTAGATGTGAGGTATGAACAGAGACGCAAGCTCATAACTGGAAGTTTAACAGGAGGGAAGAGGCTGACCATTACCAGGACGTGTCAGAATGTTGGGGTGGAGACAGTCTAGAAGGACAGAGCCTCTGCCCACCAGCAAGAAGATGACCAAAAGAAGCTGGTAGGGCTAGATAAGCAAGCTGCTCCTAACAAGACTCTTCTCCTAGGGATCTAACACCTTTCAAATGGGCCTTTGTGTAGTAGAAAAGAGGAGAAAGAGGTGGAGAGATAAGAAAATAGAAGCAGATGTCAGGCAGTAGAAGTAGAATAAATGTCAGAAACAAGGTCATTTATTGGCTGGAGAGGTAGCTCTTCCTCATGAGGCAGACTTGGAGCAATCCTCCTGAAGAAATTATAACAATACCCCTCTGAGGAATTTCCATTTATTCTATGGCAGTCATTCTCAAATCTTGAAACATGGAGGCAACCCAGGTATTACAGTAAATAAATATTCACACAGAGAAAAGCGCTTGTGTGACTCATGGCACGGAGAGCAGATGTTTGAGATGTCCAGGCTTCATGACAGAATCACCATGAGGGGATGTTTAAGACATCCCCCACGTAGGCTCTTTTAGGCATTAGCGAAATATAAGAACGTAGAAACTAAAAACACAAGGTCAGGGGAAGGAGTCGCAGGATAATTAAACCTTGGGTGTCTCAAGGGATTACAGGAATTATCTCATCTTTCCTTCTTGTTGCTAAGGTTTCATGTTTTTGTTTTTGTTGGAGGGAAGAGAAGACTCCAGCTAAAAGAGCAGAGATTCCATTCACAGTCAGTTCCCATTGCTAGTCCTCACTCTGTTTTATTTCTCTTCTGCACAGCTGAATTTAAGTCCAGCTGTTAGAAGCCTACGTTACCTTTGGATATCCTAGCAGAGATGACCTATACTGATTCCATTGATAAAGTGGAAAATAGCTCTGTGCATGAATAAGCCCTTCCTCTTTCCACCCTCTACCTGCTGTTTATTCATTTTCCTGGGGGTGAAGTCTTCAACATTTGGTTTGCTTTAAGTTGGGTACACCTGGAGATGCCTCTCAGATGGTCAAAACTCCTTGGAAATCAGAAACAAGATACGCACCGACGTCTAAAGAGATTTAAGTATCCCCAGAGAACTTATTAAGCCTTCAGAAGATCTCCCCCCGCCCCCCGCTCCTGCCTTGAAATGGCAGGCTCTCTGGAAAACACCTGGAGAAGTTTCCTCTCTAGAACCAAATGCCAATGCTATTTTTTTTAAAAAAAAATGCTAGAAACATTGTCTAGCATGACAAAAAGTATATGTCGATAGCATGAAACTCAGGATTTCACGTATGATAAACAGTCATGTTCATCAGAGTTTTAATACCACATATATATTTGCATGTGATGAAATACAGTTTGTTAAATGGTCTGCTATAATCACAGGTATCCATATCCGTTAGGAAAATATTAAACTGTTGGCTGCCTTTAGAATCACAGGGAAGGATGTCCGTGTTTTGTCTAGCTGCTCTCAAGGTGTTAAGAAAGATACCTCTCCAGGTGGTGCTATTTCCTCTAGAGTGGTAACATTCATAAAACAAAGATGCAGCTATAAGCTCACAGAATAAAAGAATAAAAAGAAAAACACCATCCAAATACTTTCGTTGAAGGTAGCAAATAATGACAATAAAAATCCGAACAGTTTCTCAGTGATTTGTAGTGAAGTACATGACTTCTCTTCTAACCATTGTTTTGCTATGAAAATTGTAAAATGTTAGAAGAATGTGTTGCTGATAAAAATCTTCCAATTTTTAGATACCACAGAAGCTATCAGATTGCTGTAAATGTTTCTAAACTCTTAGCGGTTAGCCCTTAATCCCGTGGACCAATAGCAGACACTGGACAGGTTACTCCAGTGTGGATCCCATGCTCTAAAAATCCTCCCCAGTCTCTGGAGAGCGTGATCTAACAGCTGAGTTGATGTCCAACCAGTCAGATGAAAGGCCTTGAGAATTCCTCAGGCAGGAGGACTCACAGATGCATGTTGATGCAGCAGGCTATCACACCCGTGCATTTTCTCCTTGGGGTAGCATAATAAAGATGGACCATTCAGATATCGTTATATCCAGAAAAGAACCTAGAGACAGCAAGACTATGAACTCAAACACTGGCTAGTCTACAATTTTGGGCAAATTTTAATTGTTGAATGGAAATAGCGGGAGATAATTGTGGGAATGGGCTGCACACAATCCATGCTCGGCCAAACTCCCTCCACCTCGGAAGTGGTCAACTAAGATATCAGCTAACAAGGCTGCTATCGGAGATAGACTTCAGGGAGCAAGCTGAGTCTATGGCATGTTCCTGGCACAAGAGTCTGTTTGGATAGGAGCCTCCTCACACCCCTCTCTTCCAGTCTTCAGCCCCAAAACAGGGATCCCAACTTATTATGTGAAGTTTCTGAAAATACTTATGTCTAGACCCGTCTAGAACAATGCAAGCCCAGCTATGACAGTTAAACCTGGACTTTAGTGTTCTCCATAAGTTCCCCTCGTAGTGTCTTCACTCGTGCTAAGGTAGCTCTCAGTTTTAATGTGTGGCGTGGGAGCAGGGAGAGCAAGCAGGCAACAGAGTGTTCTTACGTACTGGATGGCTCTGAAATGGTTCCCTTCCCATGATGAGGCTGCATTCATTCATTACCTTCCTCACCTCAGTGCCCTTTACTGTAGAGAGGCAGTCAACAAATGACTATCCCCCAGGGAGTTTGGGAATAAAGGAAACTAAAAAAGCAGAAATTCTTTTCCAAATTTGAAGAATTCATAATGCTTTGTACTGGTCTTTCTACGATCCTGAGATATAATAAAGTCTTTTTCTTGGAATTTGATTCAAAAAATTCTGTATGATTTATGAAAACAAAGACCCATGTAGATCTTACCCAAGGTCATCCTAGATTTGAATTCTCTTAACCATGGAAATCATGTCTATATTAACTTTACCTGTCCTCTTGACAAAACCTTGGGCCAACTGAGAAAGAAGACTCAATTAAGGGATTTCCCAGACCAAACTGGACTGAGGACATGTCTGTTGGGGATTGTCTTGATGGTTAACTGATTTAAGAAGGGCAGCCCACTGTGGGATGCTTCATTCCCTGGACAGGTGAATGTATAAGCTGTATAAGAAATCTACCTATGCTTGAGCTTGTGAGCCATCCCGAAAGCTGCATCCTTCATGGTTTCTCTGGTACTATTTGACCATCAAGAGAATTCCTGGGCAAAGCTTAAAGCTGTGAAGTAGCAAGTGATCCTGCATGTGAGTTACTATTTGAATTTCCACCCTGATTTTCCTCAATGATGGACCATAGCCTGTAAGCGGAAAGAAACCATTTTGTCCCCGACATTGTTTTTAGTCAAAGTATTCTATCAGAGCAATAGACAGGAAACTAGAATATCTAAACTAAGGTGGATAGCATACATGGTTAAGAACATTGATGTTGTAGTGAGACCTGGGTTCAAATATCACCTTTGTCATGAGCCTTATAATCCTAATACCTGTGTCTTTGTCTGTGTGTTTATGAATGGGGATAAAATAGTTAGTGGTCCCACATATATTGTAATCATTAAATGAGATGATACATTCAGAGTTTCCAGAATTCCTAACACCAGGCATAAGTAAGTCATTGGCATACAGATACACAAGTGAAGGCAGTGTGAACACATAGTACCACATTCTGCTTGAGGTTAACAGGAGCCTGATGCTCTGGGAATCAGAGCTACACCTGAATGTTTTATCTGTTGATACTGAATCTATGGATAGATGGCATCCATTCACAGTCAAAGTAGATAATAGTGACTCGGGTCTGACTGCAACAAATCACTATGAAATAGTGTACCTATACTCAAAAATATCTAAATATGTGTTCCCTTTTATTGAACCCTGTGTTAACTCCACATTCTATGCATCTTAACCTAAATGTGTTTTGTTTTGCTTTTCACTACATTCACGAAATCAGAGTAGAAAACGATCATTTTGTCCATAGTGAGACAGGAGAAGAATCAGAGAGACGGAACATCACCAGGTCACCCTCCCTTCAGTCCCAGAAGTCAGAGAAGCAGGAGGACGCCAGAAAAGCTTTAGCCCTTGGGCACAGATCATGCCCCTCTCAAACTACATCAAATTAGGATGCAGACTCACCTGTGTCTGAAATCCTTTGAGGTCACTGGCTGCAAGGTCACTGGCTGTGAGGAGCTGAAAAGAACAAGGGAGTGTTCATTAGTAATGTTTCTCAAAGTTTCCACACAGCATTCCCAAGACAACCCACATGGAATTACCATAGCCCAGACCAACTCCTCAGTCACACAGCCACAGAATGTAGAGCCCAGAAGCTCTAAGCGTCCACAGTGTGCCCGCAACCTCCCTGACTTCCCCATATCTTCTTGGTGCTCTCTGCTACCTCCCCCTTGTGTGCTACCATTTATTCCAAGGGTCTTGAGTTAGGAACCGGAGCTATGGTTGAGGGTCATTGGCTCACAGAAATTGTGAGGAATAATGATGTCCTCAGATACAGCATTTCTTTAAAGAGAAATTCTCTAGCTTTATTTCTATTTTCAAAGGCTTTCATGATAAACCAAATTAGGAGTGACTATTTTATATGCAGTTAAAGGTACTTCTAACATGCCTTTTTCTTTTCTTTTGTTTTTTCTTAAAATAAAGCCAGTGTAATTGACTCGATTCTTCCCACCAACATGGCTCAGTGTGCCTTTATTGTATATTGCTTGTAATTTTATACTCTAAGTGTTCATAGCTTATGGTTCAAACAATTATACATAGAATTACAGAAAAAATTCAATTCCAAGTGTGCCCCGCATACACACACACACACACACACACACACACACACACACACACACAGAGAGAGAGAGAGAGAGAGAGAGAGACACTCTTTGTTTAATCAATATAGTAGGGTAAGGGTATAGTTTTTAGTTCTTTTTCATCTTTTTGGGAGGTGGAAAACCCTCAATGATAACATAACACCAATTAATGAATCACATTCTTGCTGTTGCTAAGTACTGGGAAAGGGTTGGGTAACAAGAGAAAGGATAAGTGCCTATTTTAAGTAAAGGTGTATGATGGTCAAGGCAGACCTGGGCAGTGTTGGGAAAAATACAAAAGAATTCATGTTCGCTCTAGCAATATTCTGTTTCGTACAAGGAATAGAAGGAGCCCTTCTAGGCTCTGGGGTCTTCCGTGGGGCAAAGATTAAAAGGATTTTCTAGAATCCCTAATGGCTCTACCATATGTGAGGCTAAGAGAGATTGAAGCAAGTACCGCACAGTCTGCTCAGCCTTGGGGTTGCCATGTCTATGGGACAGATCCTCATCCTGGGGAGAAGCCAGCCTGGCTCCTCTAGTTACAATGAAATAATCAGGCAGCTCCCTATAATGAAAACATCCTGGGCACAGAGCTCAGATACAATGAAAGACTCAATCCTTGCCTTCAGAGAGCACCATTTCCAGAAAATGGAATATATATACACACACATACACATATATCTACATATAAAATTCATTTTGAAAGTTATTATCCAAAATAATATTTTAATTTGACATTCTCACATATATGTGCCCTACTTAGTTTTAATTTATACCTCTTCCTAGTTCACACAAATCCTGAGATACTATCCATGAGAAAACTGATTAAGTTAAGCAATATTTTCTAGGTGTTACTTGAAATGACATTCATTTTGGGTTTAAACTACATTTTCCCAATGACCATGCTTTTCCTCCTATAGAGTGTGTATGATGTGAATTTCAAAACATTAGAGACCCTTTGTAGAGTCAAGGTGGGCAAAGGAAAAAGGCCAAGCTTCAGAATATTAATCAAAGGAGTCCCACGCAGTAACATAATGTTTATGTCCTGATCAATGATGCTTACCTAGCCATTTCTCCAAGACACTCTTGTTTCTTGGTAATGACCATCTACTCTCCAAGACTTATCAATACAACATAAGCCTTTAACTGAAGCAGGCAAATGCAGGAAAGTGACAGACAGACTTCATATAAATATGAAGCCACTACATGCAGCAGCATAGAAGGAAGTAACCACACAAGCATCAAAATGTAAGAGTGGTCTTCAAGGTCAGCCAAGAAACACCCACCTACCCATTGGGCTTCCCAGGAGGGCAGAGACAGGGGACTAGACTATGCCCCTCTCTGCTCTGAAATGCTGACAGGGAGGGTATTACAAGTAGGTTCATAGTGTCTTCAAATGTGCCTCATTTCTTCACATCCATGGTAGAGGACTGAGAACTGAGCAGATCCATTTATACAGAAATTTAGCAGGCTTGATTATGGTTTGTTCGGTTGCTTTGGGTTCTCAACAAAGTTGAAGTGTACCACATCCATCCAGAAATCTTAATTCTTCTCTGTCTCATCTCTCAGAAAGGAACCAGATGTGTGCAGCTCAGTTCTTAATGTCTTACATTTCCATTATGTATTCTGCAGATATATATTTTTTAAACTAACAAAATATGCCCAAAAGACATGAATGGCAAAATATCTTATGCAAATTCAGTACTTTGAAATGTGTTAGGTGGGGTCTGAATACACAGTCACTAAATAACCTATTAAACATCTGACTTGAAAGAAAACTGGGAGAGATTATCAACCTTGAGGTGAGGACAAGAGCCATTCAATTGCTGGATCTGGAGAAGAGTGAGAGACAGCTGAAGATATTCGCCAAGCTGACACAAGGACATAGCACTCAGCACCCAGTACATTTTCTGTATGAGGAGCCTCTCAGCATTACACTGAATCCATGAGTTCTCATGATAGAAATAAGTTCTTCCCATCTGTTCTTAGTTGTAGGACAGAATATTGGTTTATACCTCAGTGTTGAAGTCACGGGTTATGTTTAAGATGTGCGACATGCAAGGAAAGAGGCTAAACAGCAAATGGATTCACCCCTAGCCAGAAAGAGGGTTCCTATTTTTCTGCCCATGCAACAGCGAACTGCCCAATGGCCCAGTGCAGTTCAGATATGCCTATCTACCTCTGGGGAGTAGAAGGACACAGGGATGTGATGTCAGGAATGGTGGAGTTGAAGTAGAGTTTCAATGTCTCAATTCTTTGTCTTTGGAGATGCCAAGTATTTCAATCAAAGAGTCGTGTGCTTAGCACATTTTACCTGGCCTAGAAGCAACCAAAGGGAAGTATAGTGGCCTCTCTCAGCAATGGGCCCTGAAAGGATAGAGTGCAGAAGCCTGTTGTGTCCCATCACACCACGAGTGTCCTCCAGGCTCTCGGGTTCTAACTATGCTATAATCAAACACAGGAAATTTTAGGCAGAAAATAGATCCATGGTATGAATGCTCCTCAAAGTAGACACCTATTCTGTATTTTTAAAGGAGAAAGGACTTACAGTGTGCTGCTCTGCTGTCAGAATTACAGGGACAGAAAAAGTCCTCTTGTATTTCAAAATCATAGACCACCTAAATCTGGATTCCCAAAGAAGTTTTAACCTTAATATTGAGAACAGAGTTAAACAGATGAAAGATTCTGGGAGGAACAGGAGTATTGTTCCCCCAGTGTGCTTAGAAACCACTTCTGAGGAAGTGAAATGAAGGAATGCAATATAGAAGAAGGTTCCTCTGTGTTCCTCCTCCTCCCTAATCCAGAGTTGTCCCACCTTTCCCAATTGTTGAATGTAGTTTCACTTGAGAACTGATTGTTTTCCATTAAAACACATAAAAAATGAGTTCTTTTTAGGGGGAAGAAAGAACTGACAGTGACATTATTAAGATGACAACTCTTCATGTGTCTCCTAACCCTCAGCCTCGCTACACAAATACCTGCTTGTGACTGTCAGCTGCCCAATAGAACCATACTGCCCACATAGAGCTGGTTGTTGGCTTCTAAGTACGAGGCAGAAACTCTCAGAGATTCAGTTGTAACTGAAAGACCAATAAGAGGTACACAGATGTAGGGGCCAGAGAGATGGCTCTGAGGTAAAGTGTTTGTTATGAATTGTTGACAACCTGAATTTAGCCCTCAGAATTCACTGTGGAATGAAAAATAAAACCGACCTCTAAAAGATGCACACACACATACATACATACACACACACACACACACACACACACACACACGAGTCATAATGATAATACATGTTATCAATACTATTTTAGAACAAAGGGAAAAGAAAATACAGACACACATCTGCCTTTTCCCCACTGTCCTTTCCCACTGTGGCCCTGTGTGCATTTGGTGGTGCTGGGAAACGGTTCAATGCCCATGGTGGCCTCACAGTGTCGTGAGTATCCATAATAGAGAACGAGAAGAGGAAGATGAAATCCAGTCCAGCTCTGGGAACTTCAATCAGGGCAGCGTTAATGAAAAGAATCCTGACTTTTCCCAGGATGGTTAAATGTCTGTACCACTCTCGGCTAGAGGGTTGAGCAGGTGCAGGGAGGAGGGCAGGCAGAATTTCATTTAGAAGGCAAAAGAAAGAAAATGTTCTCATCTCCCTGGTGGAGCAGGGAGCTTTCCTGGAGCCCTGTTCGGACCAATCACATTCCTGACACATCCTGCTGTTCTCTGAAACAGTTCACATTCAAATACTAGAAGATGACCCTGTCTTCCATTTTTTTTTCAAGAGCTGCTGCCCTTTCCTTCTTGGCAAAAATTCAGGGTGTGTTTTTATCTCTCTAGATTCAAAAGGGGAGTTGGAGAAAGATGAAGGGCCTCCCAGCTCCTAACAGAGAAGAGAAAAAAAATTCACCCGGCTTCCCAAGCAGTAACCGCCTGTTCTTTTCTTCTTCTTCTTCCATTTCTTATGAACAGGATTCTCCCTTTGGTTCCTACAGTAAGTCTTCACAATGCTGCTATCAATTAGCCAGTCTACAATGTCCCTTCATTGAGTGGCCCTCCTACCTTACAACTCCATCAGTTCTAAAGTTTCCCGCTGGAGGCGAAGGTGCAGTATCCATCTCCCATCCTCGTCTGCCCCTCTCCTGCCCTGTTCTTCCTCTCCGTGGGTCCTTTAGTGACAGCAGGGTAGCCTGGGGGTGGCTATGTCCCCACATATCCCTTGGCTCTTACCAGACACCTGCCTGGGGAAGAATTTACTAATACAGAAAAGGGGAAGGACAGAGGCCATTCTGAACTTTTTTGCCAGAAGGGTTTCAGTTAAGATATGACACTGGAAAAATTAAACTCCAGTGGATCTGCCCTGGGGCCCTATAACCCATT